TTTGCATGTTTAAGCTATCCCTGCTAATCATATACATCTCTATATATAAAAGCCTAAGCGACCCTTTTGACCGTTCGACCAATAGCTATGATGTGCACTGACCACCAGGGGGCAAACGCTCAATACACAGGCATGAAAACATGGAACAGACTGATAAATCTCAGAGGGAAGTGGGGAGGGGGGAGGGCAGGAAGAGATTAACCAAAGATCTTATATGTATACTAGAGGCCCGGTGCACAAGTTCGTGCACTGGTGGGGTCTCTCAGCCTGGCCTGTGGGGATCAAGCTGAAATAGGCAGTCCGACATCCCCCGAGGGGTCCTGGATTGCGAGAGGGCGCAGGACAGGCCGAGGGACCCCACTGGTGCATGAATCTGTGCACCAGGCCTCTAGTTATGATATAAAAATCTGTCTGAGATAAAATGGACAGGTGAAGCCATCTAGATTAAAGGCATAAAATTTTAACTTATTTATGAATTCAAAACTTCCCTCCTACTGCTATGATGCTGACAATAAAGTCAAAGAACATTTTCAATTAAAACAATTCTAATTTTCAATTAGAATTAGAAATGGGAGGCTAATTTTCCAAACATTTTATTGGTCTTCCTTTTAATTTTGAAAGCCATGTAAACAAGTAAACCATGTAAACAAGTATTGTTATCCAGAGATGGAGGAAATAACACTGTGTTAACTGAGTTCTGGGCTAAAGCTGCCCTAGTCACTTTTCAACATCCTCTCTCTCCAACTTCACTCCTGCCACCTGAAACCTAGCAACCTCATCTCTCTCTTCCCACATCACCTTGGACTTCTTTCCAAATCTGTTGTCCAAATTGCAGTCAGGATGACTTTTTTTATTATATAAACAGGATCATGTTACTGCTCCGCTTAAAACTCATTCATAGTTTGTCTGTTAAAGTCCAGAACCCTTCACATAATCTACCAGGCCTCTACCTGCCTTTGCAGCTGGGTGACCACACTGGTGTATGCCCTTTACTCAGGTTTAACTACTGACTACTGACAGTGTCTTCGTTTGGACAATGTAGTGCCTGGCCACTCCTTACTGCCCTCTCCTCTTCTTGTTCACAAGCATCCGCCTCTGAGCCTGCCCAATCCTACCCATTCTACACTTTTATGCCCAATGGGCTCTGCCTTCCAAGCACTTACCACACCTAAAATTCAATAATTACTTGTGTAATTACTTTTTAATGCCCACATTCCCACCAGACTCTAAAGTTCATGAGAACAGGAAGTTATCTGATTGCTTTGCTCACTGCTCTAGTGCAGTAGCTCAGCATGGTTCCTGAGACATAGCAAGGGGATGGTGTTTAAGGTGCCAACTAAGAAATTTCAGGGAACAAGGGTCAGAGCAGTGTGGAAGGAGAGTGTGCTTTGGCTAAAGTAGCAGAATATTTATAATAAAAAGCATCTTAAAATACTCTGAAATTAATTAGGGAATGCAGAGCAATCTGGTAGCAAATGAGAAAGAACACATACATCAGATCTTAACTAGTTTAACTATTCAGAGGACTCATCAGGATGAGTGTGTATTTAAATGTTGATTAAGTATCTTTAATAAGAAGGAGCTTTTCAAAGGAAAAATAACTTTGGGATACTGACTGTGGACGATGAAGAAGAGAGAAGAGCTGAGTCACACCACTGAAGGAGAGGAGGCAGGAGGGGGACGGGTAGGAGTGGAGGGAGATTCCATGCTTTGTGCTGAGTGTGTAAAGCTTGGGATGCCAGCAGGACAGCTACTAAACCGAACACAGCTTTTGGATGTCAGTACCAGCCACAAAGCCCAAGGCCCCTGAAGTGCATATGCTGGTCTGATGAACCCCAAATGCTAAGTGTCATATAAATGTCTGTGCAGGCAGGTAAATCTTTATAGAGTGACATGAAGCAAAATGAGAGTTCAGAGAATTATTAAATGGCCCCAAGTCAAGGAAAGATACATTCTGTTCTCTCACCATTGAGGTCGTTAGAATGCTCCAGCGTGCTCTCCCTCAGTGGAAAGTGTCAACCTCACAATTAAAGCCAGAGACCAAAAAACCTCAGAAAACATTTGAAGAAATAATTTGATCCATTAATTCATTTGACAAATATTTATGGAGTTTCTGCTACATGGCAGGCACTGGGGTAGACACGAGAGAAATAATTAGGGACAAGACCACATTGCCCCAGTCACTCTACCCAGCCAGAAAGGAAAACAGCTGAGTCCCAAGTAGCTGTAACAGAGGGAACACAGGCTGCTGGGAGCGGGGCATGTGTGTGTGAGAAGGACACACCTGAGCCAAACCTGGAAGGTCAGGTAGCAGTGTCTCAAATTTACCTCAGGAGTGAGCTGAGCTGAGAAGGGGCCGGGCCTGCTGGCCGTCTGGAGAATGGGCTAGAAGGAGGCAACCCTGCAAGCACAAATCCTGGCGTCGCAATACTGTAGACATGAGGAGGGAGGCCTGAATTGCAAGTGGAGGGCAGAAGCTGGGATGGAGAGAAGTGGATGGAATACAGAACATTCTGAAGGAAGAATGGTCGGAACTTGGTGACTCAGTGCTCGGCATGTGCAGCTGGGTAGAAGATGGTGCAGCTCCCCAGGTGAAGGAACTCAGTAAGAAGGCTTCCTCTGGACACACTGGGTGGTTTCAGGGTCCCCATCAGCCACCCTAGAGAATATGTCCAGGAGGCTGCTGGATATTCAAGCTGACACTCAAAAGGGAGAACTGGACAGAGATAAAGCTTTCAGAGCTACTGATGTGACCTTTTGCCAATTCGGCTATGGAGGACTCCAGAGTGGCCTTGGGTTGACGGACTCATTGTGTCCTTCAACATGTCACACCTGTGCTATGCCAGGCCCTGCTCCAAGTGCTGGGCATAGAGTGATAACCCAAGCTTTCCTCAAGGAGCTTTCATTTGAGTAGGACCAGCAGATAAGAAACAAGAAAACCCACAAATAAATAAAATTTCTGGAAGAGGTGGCAAGTGGGGACTGGTCAGTCAGGTTACTGTGCCAGTCTCCAAGGCCTGGGACTCGGGCTCTGCCTCTTCCTGGGGTGGCTGGTTGGCTCTTCCTGGGCTCCTGGAGCTGGGCCACATGGCACAAACCTGAAATACCAGTCTCATTATTCCCAAGAGCTTCCTGTAGTTTTCTGAAATAGCATGAGTTGATGTTTCTTGAAACTAGAAGACTTAATGCACCCCACCAATATTTCTGGGTTTGGCGGGACTGAAGCCTGAAGCACACAGACAGTTAAGGCATCTGACTCTCCACAACTGTGTGACTGTCAGTAAATGCAACGCTATTGACCAAGCCCTTCCTGTAAAGCTCAGCCGCAGGATTACTTCATCTGAGCAGCAGGACTCCAAAACACAGGTAGAGTGCTCCCAGCTCCACTCGTGCTTCTCGAGGAACTTGTGAGAACCGTCAGACCACAGCATGTGTAAGAAAGAAATACCTGGGATGTAGGTAAAAGTGATCTAGTTGGCATGCAGATGGACTTGATTGACTTTTATTACAGAAAACATCGAACATTATTTGCTCCCATCACCTTAAGCTGAAATTGCAAACTTTAATTCTGCAGCCAAAAATGATAATTACAAAGAATATCACCAATGGGAAAAATGCTGATAGTATAATGTTAAGTGAAAAAAGAAGAATGTAAATATGTGCCCAGAGTATGATAAAAATTCTATAAAAATAATATACGAACATGATTAAGGTCTGCTCAGGCGGAGATCATTGATGAAAAATATGTTCTCGTTTTTCCTATGGGAAATTAGGATGGAAAATAATGGCAGAAAAAGAAACCCAACAATTTGTTAAAGTGGCTGCCCAGCTGAGAAACTTCACTAAGGAAAAACCTAAGTAAAAGCTGGACTTTAAAAAAGGAGAGTGTAGGGTATTTAGAAAACAGCAGCAAAGACTCTGGGTCTTTGGCAAAGATGAAACAAGTCAGACTCCTTTCAACTAAGTCATCAACACAAAACTTGCATTTGCATAAGATCATGCCAGTGGGACCACAAAGGTGCCAGTACCTGAGAAAAGACCACATCACAGGCATCCAATATCCATTTGCTGTGAAGAAGCCTTTTCATGAGCCTCAGCCAGTCTTCAGGGAACCCCCAGTTGGTTACAAACTCTTGCAGAAAGTCAAAAAGCCAGAATTTGGAACTAAGTGCTGGATAAGCTCCTATGACAGCAAAAGTTTAGAACAAAGAAAACCATTCTCTACCACACTCTTCCATTTCAAAGATGAGAAAACTGAGGTCCAGACAGGAAAAGGAATGGGACAAAGACCTCACAACAAGGCTCTGGCAAGAGAATCTGAATCTCCCTACTTCCTGTCCAAAGTGTTTTCTGCTGCCCCTTGCTTGGGGTGATCTCTTTTAATCCCAGCTCCCAAATGGTACAGCAAAGCCCACAGGAGACCTGAATTAGAATGCAAGTTCAGATATAAAGGAGACCTGTAGCTGTTTTGCTTTGTTAAAGTAGTTCTAGTCATGTCAGTAATCCACATACAGTACTTGGTTGTAGCTAATTGGGTTACCACTTGCCCTTGGCTATAAACTTTAAGTGAAAAAGTGGCCAGAGGTTACTGGCTCCCTGGATGACCGGGGAGGGGAGTGAGGTATTCGAGGTATCCTATTAGGGCTGTTCCTGAATGTGGAATCAACCAGCCCAGAAGCACGAATATCCATGACATCTGCACAGCACTCCACAGGTTCTACTTCTCTGTGAATTGTGCAGCATTTTATACCAAAGCTCCACCGATTTGAGTTTCCACATTTGCAAAAGCGTTCACTGGAGGTTATGTGATGACTTTAACACAAGTATATCTAATTTCCATACCTACCCAAAGTCTGGGTTTTGGAGAATTCCCAGAACTCCTTGGTTTCTTGCCATTGATGGTGTAATTCTCTTAGGAAAGCTGAGAAGAGTAAGCCCGCAAAACCCACCAACTCTCCAGACACAATGCCCACCGGGGGGTTATCAGTGCATGGGCTTACCTGGAACATCAATCAATCTTTTGTAGACATTCAAGAAGGCTGCCTCAGCTTCTTTGCTTCTTTTACTCAGTGCATCAATCTGAAAGGGAATGGAAGAAAAGAAAAACAAAGAGCTCAAAATTTGTCAAGAGGTAATTTAAAAATCATTACGCATCTAGTAAATTCTCAAGGCAAATGGAAGTCAGATTTCTCCAGGTAGATGCCGGACAGCTGGGCCTGCAGTTCTTAGAGGAAATGTCTATAAGCATACCAAAGGGGACAAATCCATGGGCTCACCTCCTGAGGGCGCACAAGTCAGGGGCAGCGCTCTGCTCCGAGATGAAGCCATTAGCAACACTCTGTCCCATCACCCAACTGATTGTGGGCTTTCCATAGAGAAAATGGCCCAGTGCCCTTCCTGGTCTCTTTCCTTCTTCTGCCAGTATTTACTAAGAGTTGACTGGACATTGTGCTGTACATTGTGCTGGAGGCAGGGCAGAAAGGGACAGCAAGTATGTAAACAAGTAATGAAATCCCAGCCGGGAAAGTGCTGGGTAAGCAGAGCCATGGGGCCACAAGAAAGGGACATCAAGTAGGAAAGTAGGTGGTGATTGCGTGGTCCTCAGGAGCTGTCCACCAGGGTGGAAAGAATACAGTTCTTAAATCGGGGGATTCATATATCATCTTTAAGAATTTTATGAAAGCCAAGGATTGTCCTCCTAGAAAAATATCACCCCTCCCCCTGTACACACACACACCAAACACACAATTATGCATTCTATTTTAGGACACTCACATATCCTGTCCATGGAATCCAGGTTAAGAACCATGGATGGGGCTCTAATATACCAGGGGATATAGGAGTCTGCGGGGGTGGGAACATGGACACATGGGGAGGACTGGTGGGTGGCAAGACCAGACAGGTGAGGGGTCAGATCATGAAGCACCATCGGTGCATGTGGAGAATGAACTTCATTGTCTGGTCAGGAAGGGGCAGAAAGGAGGCAACCATTCTGAGGCTGCTGCCTTTGCCCAGATGAGTAATGCACAGGGCAGCTGGGGTGGGGATTTAAGGAGAGGAGGCCAATCAGAAAGATTAGGGTCCCAATGAGTTGATGTGAGGCACAGAGGAACCAGGCGAGTCAAGGATGAAACCCAGGTTTCTAGCTAAAGCAAAGGATGAGTTTCTGTGATGGTGGCTAGGACCAATTTGTCTCATGAACCTCACCCAGCTAAGCTCATTTCCCTCCAGTGTAAAGTCTATTCATCAAAGAAAGGTGACTCTGGAAATACCAGATCCAAAGAGCCTCTGACTGTTAGATGGATTCAGTATGTATTTTGCTCACATAACGCACTTGCTGAGACAACAGATCACTTTTTACACCTGAAGCATGCAAGACGCTACATGCACGAAGTTCATACTGGCTCAGGAAAAGGACACTAAATTACATATTCCTTCCATCCCCTCACAGAATTATACTCTCTGTCTCCAATGTTATTAAAGAGGCAAAAGGATGTGGTTTAATGACAGGGTCTCTCACCTGAGACAAGCAACAATTTGTTGAAGGCTGAGAGAGATCACCTGATTAAGGATGGGAAGACCCTGAAGAGTGGGATGCAAGGCTACCGGGGCCGGGTCTTAGGAAATCCAGTGCAGAGCAAACAAATGCAATGCAGCATTTCCACTTCTAACAACTGTGCACCAAATTTGCTATTTGAAGTCAGTTGTTTGCCCCCTGTAAAATAAGATTATGATTTAGGTCAAGTTTTCAGAATAATCCATGAGGACTACTTAAATAGGATTAGTTCTCTTTATTTTAAAAATAAAATGTTTCTCCTTTGATTAGGAATTCATGCTCATTGTATAATTAGAAAAATACCAAAATAAAGGGAAGAAAATTAAAATTATAATTCTGCTATTCACTGGTGAAAGTCACCCCCTGTCTGGTCTGCAGTTCCCTTCGATTTTTTTTTCTAATTAAAATAAACATACAGTTGTATGAAATATAGGCATAGAGGAAAACTATAGAGACAGAAGGTAGATTAGTGGTTGTCTAAGGCTGGGGGCAGGGAGGATGGGGGTTTGGAGGATGACAGCTAAGGGGTACAGGGTTTCTTTTTGGAGTGGTGAAATATTCTACAACTGATTGTGATGATGGTTGCACAACTTCATGAATATAGTAAAAGTCAATGAACTGCAGACTTTAAATATGTGAATTATATCTCAATAAAGCTGTTAAAAACGTGTGTGTGTTTGAAATCAAACCATATGCAAAATTTCATATTGTGCTTTCTTTCACTAATGTATCATAAATTTTTATAATATCTATTACAAATTTTGGAAAACGTCTTAAGAGTACAATTTCAACTGTCGTTAACCACCATATACACACACAGGGGTGGGCAAAAGTAGGTTTACAGCTGTGAGCTATTGTAATAATCATAACCTGCATGTCTTTCCCCACATGGACAACTGTAAACCTGCTTTTGCCCACCCTTGTAGATGTTGTGAGTAATGATGGATAAGGAGCTGCCTCTCCAGGTGTCTGGAACACACCCATGTGCGGGGGCTTTCTCTCACCTGAGAGCGTGTGCCTGTGGGGAGCAGAGTATCTGCCCAGAAAGCAGGGCAGATGCCCTGGCTGCTCTCCGTATCTCTCGACACAGAGGCCCTCACTTCCCAGGGATTTTGACTGAGTATACAAAGGGTGGCTGCCCCTCTGTGGTGGACAAAGGATGGGATCTGGAAGGATCCTGAAACGCCATCTTCAATTTCCTGTCTGTGTTGTTGATGGGACATGAAGGAGGGGATTGGCAATCTACACAGCACATTTGGGAACTGTTATGGGTTGAACTGTGCCTCCGCCCAATACCCATGAATGTAACCTTATTTGGAAAAAGGATATTTGCAGGTGACAAGTTTAAGATGAGGTCATTAGGGTGGGCCCGAATCCAATATGACTGTGTCCTTATGAAAAGGGGAAACTGAGACACGGAGACCATCACTCACACAGGGAAAATTCTATGTGAACATGAAGGCAGAGATTGGGGAGATGTGTACACAAGTCAAGGACCACCAGAGATCAGGCTGGGAACAGATTCCCCTCACAGTACTCAGAATGACCCAACCAGACCAACACCTTGATCTTGGCCTTCCGGTTTCCAGAACTGTGAGACATAAAAGTGTTTTTAAGTCACTCACTTTGTGGTACCTTGTTACAGCAGCCCTAGCAAATTAATACAGGGACCAGGATTCTGAGCCCTCTTCCTGCTCCCTTTTCCACAAATAGAAAAAAATTCAAACCCAATTCTGAGAGAACAAGGCTGGGCCAATGAGTTTAATTAATTCATTAAGCAACTGGACTATGAGGTTTCTTAAGAGAGGTGATGAGCACTCCATGTGGTTGAGTTTCTACTTGACGAGGTCCCTCCATCCCCCTTATAAGATTTTCAAACCCAGAAGAATTTGCTGATTCTGGGAATTTTGATACTTTCTATGCTTGTTCACTTTTTTGACTCCTCCCCATGTCCAGGCCCAGGCCTTGGAGTTTGGGTTTTGGTCTATTCTCTGTCAGCTCCCTCTTCTCTGTGGTGGGATTTCCCTTGCTGTCACCTGGGACGTCCTACTTCTGCGTGTTCATTTACTTGAATGCCCTTCACTTGCATCTCTGCCTGCTGAAGACCTATCCATGTTTTGAGGCCCAGTGCGAGCCCCACCTCTCCCAGAATGTGTGTGCCGGTTTCCTTCTGCTGGCATGGTTCTGAGTTTGGAGGGAGGAAGGCGGACTCTGGAGCCAGGCAGATCGGCCGCACCTGCCTCCCCGGGCTGAGTGGTTAGATAAACTCATAGCTTGGACAGGGAAGGACTCCATGGCAGTGACTTTGTCATGTGCAAGAGCTCTCCTCCGGTGAAGCCTGGGAAGTAGAGGCCTGTCTGTCCCCTTATCAGTCTGTGAGTTAGGTGAAATGGAGTATCATCCTCATCTTTATGCCCTCTACCCTCTACACTTCCCTGCGCTAGGTGCTTGGGCCCATGTGTTGCCTGCCTTTGAGATGGTGAGCCAGGGCTCATTGTGACAGCCCCTCATATGAGGGAAAGAGGTTTGCGGTGAGGTTTTAAGGCACAGATGGTTAAAAGTAGGACCTGAAGTTAGACATTCTGGCTATTTAATGTGCAAAGACAGCCTCAGGTAGACATTCTGCCTACCATTCCCCCTCCCTTAAAGCCATTTTGAAAAAGGGCAAGGACAGGTGGCAGGACTGGGACAGATCCGGAGAAGCTCTGACTGCTCAGGCACTGGCTCTGGATAAAACCTGTTCTGCTATAGGGATCAGCCTCTCCTCCTGCCACACCTCACAGTCTAGCCACACCCGGCTTACTCCCAGTTCCCTGAATACATGAGCAATTTCCCCACAGCCTGGAAGGCGCCTCCTAGGAATGTTCCTCTGATCCTTGAGGCTCAGCTGATCCATCTCTCTGCTGCCGCCACTCCCATCACCATATGGGATTGCTCCAGAACTGCAGATAATGCTCCCTTAGGAGATCCTAAATTCCTTGAAAGCCCAAACTATGCTTTCGCCTCAACGGCCTTACTTCCCAAAGACTAGTACATAGTGGGTGTTCACTATATTTTTATGTGTGAATAAAAATTTATCTAAATTGGTCAACAAGTGAGCAAATGGTTAAGGTATCCAGTTTTAAATCTTGATGAAAATGCTTAATATGTAAAGAGTCTTTTGTTCAGTAAGCATTTGTTTCACATGCTCATATGACAACAGCCACTTGGCTGGAGCAGCACAAGGCACACACCTGAGGGTGCTCTGTGTGGTGAGCTATGCCTTTACTCTAGCAAGATGCCCAGAGGCTTCTACTGCAAGTTTCCTGGATCCAATACTTACCTTTCCAGCAACATCACATTATAATCCTGAGTTTGGTTTTTCTATAACATCAATTAAATTAAAAAATAAAGGTCTATATAAAGGTTCTAAATCTCAATCAATATTTGCTTACAGTGGTATGAAAACTTAGAGGCTGTGTTTGTAGACCAAGTTCATGGATATAAATTGCAAGACCCCTGAGATTTAGAAGGGGTACGAAAG